AGGTTCTTGCTTTTCATCACTCTGAATATTTCTTGCCACTCCCTTCTGGCCTGCAAAGTTTCTTTTGAGAAATCAGCTGACAGCCTTATGGGAACTCCTTGTAGGTAACGAACTGCTTTTTTCTTACTACTTTTAAGATTCTCTCTTTGTCTTGAACCTTTTGCATTTTGATGATGATGTGTCTTGGTGTGGGCCTCTTGGGGTTCATCTTATTTGGGACTCTCTGTGCTTCCTGGACTTGTATGTCTGTTTCCCTCACCAAGTTAGGGAAGTTTTCTGCCATTATTGTTTCAAATAGGTTTTGGATTTCTTGTTCTCTCTCTTCTCCTTCTGGTACCCCCAAGATGGGAATGTTGGCACGCTTGAAGTTGTCCCAGAGGCTCCTTACACTCTCCTCATTTTTTTGGATTCTTTTTTCTTTTTGCTGTTCTGATTGGGTGTTTTTTGCTTCCTTATGTTCCAAATCAATGGTTTGCTTCTTGGCTTTACCTACTCTACTATTGAATCTGTGTAAATTATTCTTTATTTCAGTTAGTGCCTCCTTCATTTCTGACTGTGCATCCTTCATTTCTGACTGGTCCCTTTTTAATGCTCTTGAGGCCCTCACTAAGTTCGCTGAGGTTCTCACTAAGTTGAGCATCCTTATAAGCAGTATTTTGAACTCAGCATCTGTTCAAAGCATCTGTTAGGTTGCTTATCTCCATTTCGCTTAGTTCTTTTCCTAGGGTTTTGTTCTGTTCTTTCATTGGGAACCTGTTTCTTTGTCTTCTTATTTTGGCTGCCACCCTGTGTTTGTTTCTGTGTATTACTTAACGAGAGGTATGGGGCTAGCTGAGACCAGATGCTGCTTGTTTGAAAGAATTCAGGAAAATATGAAGCAGGATCCAAGACAAGCCAATCCTATGGTTAAGCATCTGGCAACAGCTTGGGTGGGCCTGAAAGTTGGGTGGGGCGGGGCCTCAGGGAATCACCAGGGCGGGGCTACCAGTGTGAGCCAGGTTGCTGGAGTCCCAGATATGGTGGCTGTCTGCCGCCCCAGGGAAGGGCTCACCAAAGGAACAAAGGCACATCTGTCCCGGAGAAAGCCCCCTCTCCAGCCCTCGCTCCAGTGCCAAACAGCTCAGTTCTTCCCTGTATGTCTCTGGCGCCCCTCGAGCTGCCTCCCCTCCAAGAGGGAGAGAGTCCGATAAGTCCGTGCGCGGGCCCTTTAAGGAGCTGCCTGGGGCTCCAGCCACCTCAGCCTCCCTGAGCCTCAGTTCCCGCTGGTTTTTCCAGCCAGAAGTTATGGGGATTCTCTTCCTGGCACTGGAACCCTGAGCGGGGCACCTGGTGTGGGACGGGAACCCCTCAGTCCTCAGGGAGGACCTTCCCAGCCGAGGTGTCCTCCTGATTTTTATCCGCCACACGTGGGTGTGGGCCCAGCCCGTCCCCTCCACCTCCTACCAGTCTCCTGTGGCTGCTGCTTTAATTCCGTAGTTGTAGGACTTCCATTCAGCTGGATTTCAGGTGGTTCTGAAGGATGGTTGTTCTGTAGTTTAGTTGTAACTTTGATGTGGTTGTGGGAGGACGCGAGACCGGGTTACCTCCCGCCATCTTGACCGGAAGCCCCTGAGATCTATTTTTACCTAATGAATGTCTCTCTCAGGAGCCTGGGCACTGTAACTCCATCAGGTGGCACAGTTTATTCAGATATGGTTTCCATATTAAAGCACTTAATATGGTAATTTGGCACTTGGCATTCAGCTCTTAGTCTGGAAAACGTTTTTCTTTCTTTCTTTTTTTAAATGCTTTATTTTTTGTTTGTTTGGGTTTTTTGTTGTTGTTGTTTGTTTTTTTGGTACGTGCCCCTAGCGGGAACCGAACCCAGGACTCTGGTCTGCAGGCCGATGCTCCAACCGCTGAGCCAAACCGGCCAGGGCGAAAATGTTATTTTTTCTATTAGTGAGGACCACCCAAAACCCTCAGCTCTACTTGGCAGGCAGCAGTACATCTTCACTTTCTTACTGTGGGGCAGTTAGCTTTTCTGTCCTCTGTCATCATCTAGTCTGGATTACCGATGTCTCCGTACGGAAACACTGATCTACCACGTTGACGACATCATGCTGTACCCAGTGAGCAGGAAACAGCAAGTGCACCAGATGCTTTAGGAAAACACAGGTATACCAGTGGGTGATATATAAACCCCATGGACATTCAGAAGACTGGCACCTTGGTGAAGTTTCTAGGGACCCAGGGGTTAGGAAATATCAGGTTATCCCCTCCAAGTGAAAAGCAAGTTGTTGCTTCTATCCCTAAGAAAAAAGCACAACGGGCAGCCCTCTTTGTATTTGGAAGGTGACATGCACGCATTTGTGTGTGCCACTCCAAACCATTCACGGAGTAACAGTGCATAGGACAGCCAGTCTTGAAGGGGTCCCAAAGCAGATTCAGGCCGCAGTGCAACATGCTCTGTCAGTTGAGCCACATGACCCAGTCAGTCCAGTGGTGTTTAACTGCCTATGATGTTTATTTTATTTTAAAATTTGTTTTTATTGATTTTATTATTATTATTATTATTTTTTAGGGCGAGAGAGATAGAATCATCGATGTAAGAGAAATACATTGATTGGCTGCCTCTTGCACCCCCCTACAGAGGATCGAGCCCGCAACCTGGGCATGTGCCCTGACCAGGAATTGAACTGGGACTTCTCAGTCCATGGGCCGATGCTCAATCCACTGAGCCACACTGGCTGGGCAGTTGCCTGTGACATTTAAAAATGGACATTTTCTATTAGCCCCCAGCAAGCCCTAACAGGAAAATCTCAGTGCCTGTTCCTAGGATTCCTAGGACATGGAACAGTCATGTCCTCTTCTGCAAATGACAATTGTCCTTTTGAAATATAGTGTCTGGCTTGCTACTGGTAGAGACTGAACACCTGACCATGAGACACCAGGTGGCTGTGCAACCTGAGCTGCCCATCAAGAACTGGGCGTCGTCTGATCCGTCTAGGCATGTACTGCAGCGTTCTACCGTCAAGTGAGAGTGAAACCACTCAGACTGTGTCACCTGTTCCTGCCACACTGCCACCTCTTCCTCAGTCAGTACCTAAGGCCCTGTGGCAAAAGCTCTTTGATCAATTGACGGAGGAAGAAAAAGCTCAGGCCTGGAACCAACTGGAAGTGGATGGTTGGAGCACTACAGGAAGGCCCTGAAAGACATTGGAGAAGGATTCAACCAACTGGGGATAAAAAATATTTGAAAAAAGAAAAGTTACATTGGTGTGTTTTTTAAATTTATTGATTTTAGAGAGAGAGAGGGAAGGAGAGAGAGAGAGAGAAACATCGATTTGTTGTTACACTTAATTATGCATTCATTGGTTGCTTTTTGTATGTGCCCTGACCGGAAATCAAACCTGCAACCTTGGCATCTCGGGACAATGCTCTAACCCACCGAGCTACCCAGCCAGGGCACATTGTTCTTGATATGTACTGTGTAGTTAGGCCTCTGATGTTTGGATCTGTACTGAACACGTACAGACTTCTTCTCATGTCATTATTCCCTAAACAATAGAGTGCAATAACTATATAGCATTTACATTGTATTAGGTGTTATAAGTAATCTAGAGATGATTTAAAGTGAATAAGAGGATATGTGTAGGCTATATGCAAATACTATGCCATTTTATATAATGATTTGAGCATCCTGGAACCAATCCCCCACAAACAATGAGGGACAACTGTACATATGGTTGTCTATCTAGATAGAGATAGAAGTTCAGAGATATGGATCTACACATATTCATGGGATGAATGATTTGACTGTATGGTCAGTACTGAAGGATTGATAATAGGAAGGTCTGTGCGAGATGGTACATAGATGGGCCTTTGACAGTGGTTACAGAAGAAGAGAATATTTGTACTCTATGCAAATGTTCCCTCTAAAGAGACTCTTCCCTGCTTGCCATGTATGTATATATAATGCATATAAGGAATGCTGGTGATGGTTAAATTGACATTTTAATCTATGCATTAGTGTATTGAGGTATGCCTGTGATTTCTAGGACTAGAGGTGGACCGAGAAGAGAATCCATCATCCAATGATGTTACTGACTGGTGGAGCTTTGTGGGTCTCATTTTTTGGAGAGAAGGTGTGTCTTCATTTCAGGAGAGCATTGGTCCTGTTCAGATTAAGCATGATGTTATGTTCTTGAGTAGAGTTTATGAGTGGGAGGGTCTGGTGGAGGTTAAGTAGCCAAGGGGGTAGACAGTGTTAGATAATGCCTCTGCTCTCTAAGTGCTTGCCCTGTCTTGGCCATGGCTTTTTTTTTTTTTTTTCATCTTGATGAAAAAAGTCTCATACATTTTTATAAAATAAATAAAACTATGCCTTATGTTCTACAAGTTGTACTTCTGGTTTAATGTTCTTGGGGCATTTTAGGCATTTTAACACATTTTTCCCTCTGGGAAACTGTGGGGACATGTGCCCTGGGTGCCCCCTGAAAGTCCATGTACATGAGCAAATGTCTCTGAACATGCTCTATAAACTGTGAAGCATTGTGTGAAATGAGGTGTGTTTATGTCAAGGGCAGAACTTTGCAAAGTCTACCCAGTAGGCCAATCCCACACTCAACTCTTGTTAGCTCTTATGGAGCACTGAGTCTGGACCTCGTGTCTCCACCCCTCTGATCCCAGCCTTTGGAAATGAGAGCTAGATGGACAACACAGGTTTACAAATGAAAAGCAACTGCTTCTCCTGGATGCTTTATTGGGGGCTTTCAGTGGTTTCTAAGCATGAGCGGCAGTGACGCCCAGACCCTCTCCCCACATGCAAAAGGCACAGGAAAGTGAGACAGGACCAGGGCGGGCAGCGTAGGTGCAGAGAACCCCCTGCATGGCATAGTGGGGCACGAGAGGTGCCCTACAAGTGGTGGGACAGTTGGGCATTAAAGGAAATGGCTTTGGCAGAGGAGAGGGACTGAGGTTTATCCACCTCCAAACCCACCCCTGCACTCAGGCTGGGACTAACCTTCTAAGATGGAGAACATGGCTTTTGCTGAAAATCCACCTCACATGGTGGGAAAAATCAACTCCAGGTGGGAACAGGATGACGGGTGCTGCCCTCAGGGATTACTGGTGAGGTGCCAAACCAAACTCACTGGCCACATCAGGGGGGAATGAGGGTGTGCTCATGGTATCGGTCTCAGTCATGGCTTGGTGGGTGGGTACCACTGCCTCGGCATGAGCCATGCTCTCAGTCCATATCCAGGAGAAGGATGAAGTCATTTCTGATCTTCAGGGGCCTCCCATGGAGTCTCCGGGTCTTTAGCCCCACCCAGAGGTACCACTTAGAAGAGCTGAGTCGTGGTGTTGGCTTTGTCCTGTGGAAGAGTTCCCTGGGCGAGAGGGAAGGGAGGCGAGGGGTCAGGCCCTCTGAGCCCCCAGCACCTCCCAGAATCTGGGCCCTGGTGGGTGAAGTGACCTGGGACTCACCTCAGATCCTAACCAGTCCCCACAGTTCCATCTCGAGACCTTGAATCAAAAGAAAAGGCATTCGTGTTTCGTTTCCCTTCTCTGTCACTCATTCTCTCCTTTAGTAGAGCCGCGGCTTCAACCACGGCCTTGGCAACGTCTACTTCTAAACTATGGAATGTTTGCACACTGACAACAGAGTTACTCCGAACAAGGGGTGGGGAGGGGCTGCCAAGTGTTCATGAGACAGTGCGTCACTGAGAGCTCATTAGGGATCACACGGCACAGAGACACCAACAGTCAGACGCCAAGCCCAGGCCGGGCTCGGCTCTAGATGTATTTTTTCTTGAGGTACCAGTAGGCAAAATAGCCCATCCCGCCCAGGGAGCCCATGAGGAAGGAGGCCCCAAAGAACGATGGCGGTTTCCGCTTGACCAGCCGGAACGCGTTGGGGATGACGGCCGACAGCAGGGTGGTGTGAATGTCGCCCAGGACTTTCCGGAAGGCAAAGCGCTTCTGGACTCTCTCGAAGAAGGACTGCAGGTTGGGCCGGCTGCCGTCTTCCCAGTATTTCTTGGACAGTCCCAGGAACTTGAGGCGGTGCAGGGTGGCTCCCAGAAGGACGTCGGCGAGGGTGAAGGCACAGCCACAGAGCCACAGCTCACACTTCTGCCCTGAAGTTGAAGAGAGAGGAGGTGGGGGCAGGAGGGGTCAGCTCTTCCACCCTCTGCACTCCTCTCTCCCTGACCCCCCTGGTGTTGGCCCGCGTGATGTTTCCCCAGGGCCATTCACTCCCGTACAACGTGAATGATATCTGTCATATCCTTATACAGCCCCTATCGGTTTTTTCTTTAAATCAACTGACTTTTTTCAGTGCAAGCACTGAGCTTTGGGACTTCAAGATTTGGGTATCGGGCAACAGGAGAAAGCAGTGAAGGGGCATGAGAAGGAGCGGCCTGGGAGGTGGGAGATGGCCCACGAGTGTGTGGTGTCGTGGGAGCCGAGATAAGAAAGTGTTCCAAGGAGAAGGGCGTCCTCAGCTGTGTTCGAATGCTGCAGAGAGGTCAAGTAAGAGGAGGCTTGAGAATGACGCTTGCATTTGGCAGCTGGTGACCTTGACGGGCAGCTGGAGTAGATGCTGACGACGAAAGCCTGGTTGGAAGGAGTTCAAGGGACCAAGGGAGAACTGGAGACTGCAAGCAAAGATCACTCATTCAAGGAGTGTTGTTGCAATGGGGTGGATACACTAATAATCTGAGACAGGTCAAGACTGGTTTTGTAAGTTGGGAGGAAAAAGCCAGCATGTGGATGGGAATGATCTAGCAGAGGAGAAGAAGTAGTTCTGCGGGAGGGAGTGGAGAGAATTACTGATATGTCGTTGAGAGGTTGAGTGTGAGCACTCTAGTATGGCATCTAGAAAACAAGGACTGGTCTTAGCTAGTTCAAGGACAGTTCATCCTTGGTAATAAGAGAGTGTGAGGTACTGTAGTTCATCAAATCCAAGTTGCCGGTCAAATGTTACGACAGCCACCCTGCAGAGAACAGTGATGCCAATTAAGCTATGTTAGGGTGTGATTTTACAAAGGTGCGCCTTAGAATCGACAAAACACAGTGTATGTATGGACACCAGTGCTGGTGGGTAGGTAACTGGGGGTCAGAACTGTGAAAATTTCTTCCTAATACTTCCCTTTTCTGTGATATATAGAGCGGTCAGAGGAGAATGAGGAGGTGGGCGAAGCGGTCGGAGGGTTGAGGAGAAAGAAGGTATTAAGTGGTCATCTGGAGAGGGGACAGTGGGGAGACCTGGGGCAGCGGGAAGGCCATCGAAGGCTAGTGGTCGGTCATGAAGTCAAAGCAAGAGCAGCCAGCCCTTCTTGTTTCTCTAGCCACATTGAGGGTCACAGGTGCAGGTGGAGAGTTGGGTGTAACCAGGATTGAGGTTCTGCAAGGTCAGTCTGATGACACAGGAGGGCACGGGAGTGGAGGTGCAGGCAAGGGATGCTCACGGTGGTTGGTGATCAAAAGAATTGCTCCAAGTGGAGGGAAGTGAGCATGATGGGGTGAGGGGCAGTGAAAGGAGGCAGCATAACGAGGTAGAAGCCCCTGGCTACAGTCTGGATGAGTGTAGGGTAGACAGATTTGAGGACAGGACCAAGGACAGCCCTGGGGCACGCCAAGGTTTGGATATTGGGCAAAGAGGAGAAACCAGCAGGGAACACCAGGAAGAGCAGCCTGTGAGGTGGGAGACAGACCAGGAGAGTGCGGTCATTTCCTTAATCCTCACAACCATTTGATCAGGTAGATGCTACCCCTATTTTACAGATATGGAAACTGAGGCAGAGAGCAGTTAAGTGACTTCAAGTAAGTGGAACAGCAGAGTGTGGGCCTGAACACAGGCCATCTGGTTCCACTGTAAGACGTTGCTTCTTTCCACGTGCGAATGAACTTGGGCAGATGCATGTATCTCCACATACACTCAGGCCTCTTTTGATAGGTGCGTTCTTTACTTGGGTGTGTGTGCACATCTGTTTGTGTGTCTGCATTATGCTTGGTGTGGATGTCTGCTCAGATCCATGCAGCTGACTGTGTGTATGTGTGTGAATACCCGCACACGAGTGTCTATGTCCATGTGGTGTGGGGATTACCACACGTGTAAGTGAAGTGTATGCCCACATTCATTTGGCTGCACACAAATGTTCACAAGCATGTATGCATGTGTCACTATTTAAGAGGGTCCATGCTGCCCTGGCCGGTGTGCTCAATGGTTAGAGCGTCAGTCTGTGCACTGAGGGGTTGTGGGTTCAATTCCTGGTCAAGGGCATGTACAGGCAGCCCTTGTTTATTGTGGTTAATCAGTTCCAGACTCTACCACAATAAATGAATTTCCGTGAAGTAGGATTCGTAGGATTCTTTATTTATATACAGGCCGCCCTCGCCACTTTGTGCTTCGACTTTTACAGCTTCACTCTATCACGATTTTTTCAGTAGAGTATAGTATTTGTAAAAACTGTGATAGAGTGAAGCCACAAAAGTCGAAGCATGAAGTGGCGAGGGACGGCTGTACCTGGGTTGCAGGTTTGATCCCTGGCCCCAGTTGGGACACATTTAGGAGGCAACCAATCGATGTGTCTCTCTCACATCAATGTTTCTCTCTCCCCCCCCCCCCTTTCACTCTCTAGAAATCAATGGAAAAAATATCCTCAGGTGAAGATTAATACAACAACAACAACAAAAGAATGTCCTTGCCTGTGTTTATGTTTGTAGGCAAACACCGATAGCCATGACTACACATGTATGTGGACACGTGTAGCTATCTGGCATGTTGCCAGAGGGCCCAACCCCTTCAGTGTCCCCCCTTCCACGGCTGTGCATTCCTTTGGCACCCCCAGCCCTAGATGAACCCCATCTTGTGCCTTCTCTGAGTCTGCCAGCCAAGCCTGCTGGAGACCGTCACACTGACCAGCTTCTCCAAATTCATGCCCGCAAAGCCCAAGAAGACACAGCTCTGCCCGGGTCCTAGGGTCGTTCTCGAGCAGGCTCACCTCCCGCTCCCTGCAGAGACAATTGCACATCTTCCGTCTCGTCTCACACCTCTCTGTGCTCTCTCAGCTGATGGTGGCACCTCATGCTTCATCCAGAAAACAGGAGCCTTCGGACATGCAAGCCCTCCCTCCCCATGAAGCCACAGACCCAGGCAGGGCATGTGCCTGCTGCCACCGTGCTGGCACAGTGGCGGGTGTGAGCCGCCTGCTCGCAAGGCCAGGGCCCCTGCATCCGTCCGATGCTGCCGAGCCTCCCTTGGCCTTTCCAGATCCACCCTCCCCTTCTCCATGCTGCTCTGGCCCCAAGGGGCTCTGCTGCCGGGGAGCAGGGGCAGATAGGAGGGAGTGAGAGTGAGGTCACAGTCTGATGTCCCTCCGTTTCCTCTCTGCAGATCACCATGGACTGGCTGTGTCCCCAAAATGACAGTCACAGCTTTCGCCAGGTGGCCCTCTCCATACGGTCTGTCTGTCCAGTTCCTGAACCTGCTCCCGCCCCCCACAACCTCAGGCCCAGGGCACCACACTTTTCCCTGTGGTTTCCCTGAATCCTGCTCGTATATCTGTAAACAGTCTCTGTAATAAGCCCTCCTCCATTATCCAATCTGAGGTTGCCCTGCGTCCTGTGGGGACCTGCCTGGACCACACGCCTCCTGTCCTTTCATGAACTTGGCATTGTTGGTCCTGCATCATGGCTTTCTCCCTTCCACTGGGTCGTTTGCCAGCCTGAAAACACACTCTCGTATCTACTATAAAAAAATCCCCCCCTTCCTCCCTACCTTCTCCACCCCCACCCCACTTTTCTGTTCCCTTCTAAGATACACTTCTCGGAAGAGTTGTCACATTGACCGGCCACACTTCCCCCCACTCACTCTTCAGCCTTTTGCCCCCGCACTCCAGCGAAACCGTTCCTGCAGGGTCACCACCAACAGCCATGGGACCACTTCCGGGGGCACATCACTATCCTCCGTGTCCTCAGTCTCCCAGGCCCTTCGTGGGGCTGTGACACGGCTCCTCCTGACCCACTGGCCACTCATCTCAGGCGACTTCGCCTGCTCCTCTGCCTCTACCCCTCCTTCAACGTGGGGGAACCTCAGGGCAGGGGTGGTGTTTTTAAAACGTGCCCACAGATTGAGAATCCTCCCCTGGACCATGGGCTGCATTCATGACTTGCTTCTAAGGAATGGAAGGTGGCAGGGGTTACAGTGACTCCCAATGGGGGGCCATAAAAGGCACAGTGGCTCCTGCTGCTTCGTTTTCTCACATCACTCGCTCAGGAGAAGCCAACTGCCATGGTGCAAAGAAACTCAAACAGCCTATCAAGATACCCATGTGGTGAGGACCCAGGTCTCCTGCCAATAGCCAGTGGGGAACTGAGACGTCTGGGTAAGAACCCTGAGAATAAGCATCTTGGAAGCAGTCTTCCAGCTCAAATGACGACAGCCCCAGCCAAGAGCCTGCCTCTCACAACCCTAATGAGACTACCCGGCTAAGCTGCCCCGGAATTCCTGACCCACAGAAAACGTGTGATAAAAGAAATGCTCTCTGTTTGAGCTGCTAAGTTCAGGAGCAATTTGTTACGCAGCAGTAGATAACTAATACAGCAGGTCTCAGTCCGTCTTTTTGTCTCTCTCCACTCTCTCCTAGATGAAATCATCCAATTCTATGGCTTTAGGCACCGCATATATGCTGAAGACGTGTACATCTCTATCTCTAAATTCTGACCTCTCCTTTGAAAGTGACACTAGAATATCTAATGGCTGAGGTGACACCCCCTCGTGGGTGTCTCAGTCTTACTGTTTCTCTTAAGTGAACACTTGGTCCCCGTTGCCCATATCAGGAAATGGCAGTACTCAGCAGATGGCTCCATCTAGAGGTCTTAACTATGACATTATAATACCTCCCAACCCTGGGCTCTGCACTAGGAGAAATGGAGGGCATCCCCTCTAGGCGGGTTTTGGGGCACCAGAGACCATGAGTGCCAGAGACCATGTGGGCCCAGCCAGTCTTACCTTTAAAACACACAGTCCCCTCCCTGGCCTCTGCTGCCTCCCTCAGCCTGGAGGGACACAAGGAACTGCCCTTACCTCTCCATCGTGAACAACCCCTCATCTGGCTATCGGAGAGTACAACGCTGCCTCCTCTCGGAAGACCTCAGGACCAAAACAGAGAATGGGGACAGGAGGCACTCAGGCTAGGATCACCTGAGAAATATGTGTCCACAGCTATTCTCCAGGACTGTCAACTCTGGCCTCCATCCAGGTCTGACCCTATGTCTCCCTTGATCATAACGGCAGCTAATATTTGCAGACACTTCCAATACCATGCGCCAGGCAATATGCCGAGCCCCTTACATGCATTTTCTCACTGATCCTCATGACAGCCCTGTGAAGCAGGTGCTCATTTAACCGCTTTTACAGAACAGAAGAGGCACCAGAGCTAGTGCTTAAGAATGACCCTGGGAGCCAGCGTTTGAATCCAGGCTCCACCACTTCTATCTGTGTGATCTTAGGAAGGTTACTGAACCTCTCTGTGCGTTAATTTATTTATTTATTTTTCATCTGCTAAATGGGGTTTCTCATATTACCTACCTCCTAGAGTTGTTATGGGACTGAATACGTTGAAATAGGAGAAACACTTAAAATAGTACCTGGCACAAAGCAAGTGCTGATAAATATATAAATTGTATGGGCTGAATTGTGTCTCTTCAAAATTCATACATTGAAGGTATAATCCCCAGTATCTCAGACAGTGACTGTATTTGAGAAAGGGCCTTTATAGTTATCTATTTATTGTTAATCCTCACCCAAGGACATTCCTCCATCATTTTGTTTTTAGATAGAGTGCAAGGGAGGGGGGTGGGGGAGGAGAGAGAGAGAAACATCAATGTGAGAGACACATCAACTGGTTGCCTTCCACATAACCCCAACCAGACCCTTGACTGGGGATCGAACCCGAGACCCTTTGGTTCACAGGCCGACACTCTAATTGCTGAACCAAACCAGCCGGGGTGGAAGAAAGGGCTTTTAAAGAAGTACGTTTGCCCTGGCCAGTAGCTCAGTTGGTTGGTTAGAGTATCATCGTGATACGCCAAGGTTGCTAATTCAATCTTCAGGCAGGGCACATACAAGTATCAACCAATGAACGCATAACTAAGTAGAACAAATCTCTCTCTCTCTCTCTCTCTCTCTCTCTCTCTCTCTCAAATCAATAATTAAAAATAAAAACAAAGAAATGAGTAAGTTAAAATGAGGCTGCGAGGTGAGTCCTCGTCCAGTCTGGCCGCGTCCTCATCAGAGGACAGCTGCTGCACAGACAGCAGGGGCGTGGTCTTCACCAGGCAAGACCACGTGAAGACAGCAAGACCGTGGCCATCAGTAAGCCTAAGAGAGAGGCCTCAAAAGAAACCACACCTCAGAAGAAACCAGCACCTTGATCTCAGACTTCTAGCCTCCAGAACTGTGAAAAAATAAGTTTCTATTATTTAGGCCATGTAGCCTGTGGTATTTTGTTATGACAACCCTAGAAAAATAATGGATAACTGTATAAAATACACCTGAGAATTAAGGTCACCCAGTGAGAGAATGTCAGAGCCGGGGCTCCGTCTCACCCCAAAGGCCTTTGGCCCCTAAGCACTCTTCTGTAATGGCTCCCCAGCACCCTCTCCGACAGAAATGAAAAAGTTCCTCCTTGCGGTATGTATTATTTCCCTCACTTAGCCACACCATCCTTTTTTCTAGAGGGAATTTAAAGCAGCTGGCTTCAGTACACATGACAATGTCCCTGTTGAGGACTTTAGGTACCTGTGTGTGTGTATCTTGTGCTCAAGGCCTCAGTTGTGAGATGCTGGAAGAACACTGGACCCATCAAGAGGGAACATGTTTTTGCCCTAACCATGCTTTGTATAAGCTGTGTCACCTTGAGCAAGTCATTTTATTTCTCTGAGCCTCAGTTTTCTCATCTGGAGAAAGTACACATCTTTAGCTGTCATGTGTTATTAAACTAGTATGTGCCTAGTACTGTGCTGAGAGCTTTCAATTTTTACAAGAGTCCAGCGAGATGGGGCTAAGGTTTTAAGTTGCCTTATTATCATCTCATTTTACAGATGAGGAAACTGAGGCTCCGATAGGGAAAATAACTTGTCCAAGTCACACAGTTCAGGCAGCAAAGCTGGAACTCTAACTCAAACCTGTCTGACTCCAAACTCATCTTTTAGAACACTGTGCTCCAAGTAGAGGGGTGGGGTGTGTGTGTGTGTGTGTGTGTGTGTGTGTGTAGCAGCGCATGTTGCACAGGCTCCATAAATTGCATAGTTGAATAGACAAGACTAGCAATCTGCCTAAAACAGAGCAATGAGAAGAGCTGGAATGGAATCAGAAGAAGAGCTGTGGCAAAGACATTACATAAAAGGACAAAGGAGAGGGTGGAGAGGGTGCTCCAGGCTAGAGGTGCTGCAGGAGCAAAGGTGTGGAGGTGGGAATGAAGCTGGTATGCTCAGGGTCCAGAGAAGAGAGCCACTTGAGAACAGAAAGAGTCAAGGTCAGACAGTCTGGATGAGCCTGGATGCCTGGCTGCAGCACAAAGAAGCCATAATACATCCTTGATCAGGGGAAAGGTCACCACCACCACCACCACCATCATCATAATGATCTTCACCAACATTTATTAAATACCTACTGTGTGCTAAGTGATCTAAGCACTCTACATGTATTATTTTATGCAATTTCTCAACATCTCTCTGAGGTAGGTCTTATTATTATTCTCATTTTATAGATGGAAACTGAGATCCAGGGAGGTAAAGTACCTGACCCATGGTCACTCAATTAGTAAGTGGCCAAGCTAGGACTTAAACCTATGTCTGCCTGTCTCCATGGTCCATGATCCTAACCACCTGGGAGGGGTCCTCTGAGATCTTTGGGAAAAAAGAGCCTGGAACTTGTCATGGTCGGGGTGAAGAGGGGTGGATGGCAGTAGCACCGACCTACCCAGAGTTGGTACCCACCCTCGTTCTCAAGTTTCCTCTTCTCCAGCTCAGCCTCGATTTGGTCCAGCACCATGGCCAGCTCCCCAAGGATCTTCTTCAGGTAGCTCACATCATCATGCTCCAGGATCTTGGCCTGGGGGCAGGATAGGCAGGAGCCAGAGAAGCTGAGTTGCCCTCAATAGAGTTGGGATGATCAGAACTTGGCCCAACACCCTTCTGCAAAGCTAGCCTCCAAATATCCCCTCAGCTGGTGAGCATGGCTGTCCTGCCTAGATCTTTTTCATGGGGCTGGCCTCATACACCAGCTGCTGTGAAGGTTGGTTGAGTGGTTCATAGCTGACCCTTCTCCAGAGGGTTGCCAATGAGGAGGTGCCCAGAAATGCTTGGGAGATTATCCCACACCCTTCAACCCCATGCCAGGCAACCTGTAACCAATGACTGATATTTATAAGGATATAAAAGGTTGGCTCCTCGCCTTAAGGTGCATCGACTTTGTAGTGCCATTTGAGTTTCAGAGCTCCCTGTGGGATTAGGGGACTTTGGCCCTCTCATCTTTTCTATCATTCCCATCCTTACTGGGTTCTCCTCAATACCCAAGAACCTCTGTCCAATGCATGTTCTGCTTTTAGGGACACAACCCAAGACATGAGGAAACTGAGGCTCCAGGGGGGAGAGTGGCTTACCCAAGGTCAAGTAGCCAGTAAATGACAGAGGAGACAGGACTGGAAGAGCAAACCAGTGGATTGCCCATTTCATGTCATCCGCTGACCTTCTACCTAGGACCAGCTTCTCCCAGTTGTTCTTTTCCATGGAAAATATGGTGGAAAAGAGGGTGAGCAGGCCTGGAGGCACTCACCATGAGCTTCTTCTGTTTAGAAAGATAGGGTTCAGAGAGCTGGGGTTCCTCTTCGTGGTCCAGTTTCATGAGGTCCGTGGTGGCGTTGGCTAAATGTCCTGGGGAAAAGAAAAGGAAAGGTCCTGTCCTTCTGATACCCAGTGTCACCCTATTCTTTCCCCCATGAACTTGGAGTAGGTCCCATCCAAACATTGGTCTTGGAAGTAACAATATCAACAGCCAACATTTAGTGGGCCCTATATGCTGCACCATAGTAATGGGTGAGATGCCATCCTGTTCTGGGCTCAGGATAGGGGGAGAGACAGACATCTAAAGAGATCCCTATGACACAGCATGGTCAATCTGTAATGAAGAGTGGACAGACTGTTGTGGGACCCAGAGGGCCACCTGCCTGGGGTACAGGCATCAAGAAATCTCCCTGAGACCACTCTACTCTTGGGGATGAGTAGGAGTTTGTCAGATGAATATAATGCTAAACTTGGAAAGACTCATACTTCAGTGAGTATCTCCCCCAACCCCCTTCTGTGGTGAGGAAACCAGTTCAGAGGAGCTAGATAATGTTCCACACTCATGAATAACAAGCAGGTTTGAACCTAGGTCTGCCTGGTTCTTGGTCTAATGCTCACTCATTGCACCCCACAGGGACAAACTTGTTTGTTGCAAGAAAAACTGTAAGAGACTTTTGGGGTCTTAAAACTTCCACTTGTGGTGAGGCAACTTTCCTGAAGATTTAGGGACTAAATGACCCATCTTTCCTTGGAAAACTGACCCTGATGCCAAAAAGGCAAGGGTGCAAGAAAGTAGGCCAGTGATCGAAATTCAAGCCAGCACCTTGAGGATTATCCTGAATGGGAGAGAGGTAGTGTCCTATAATCTAACTTTGAATATCTTTAACTTTGAAAGTCTAACTGTAAAGTCTTATATGGGCTTTACAAGAGGAGGTGGAAATATTAATTGGGATAAGATCTTGAGTTCTGCTACCTTATCGGGGTAGGATTCTCTGAAATTCTTGGCCAGTAAGTCTGGAACATGGTAGGTCAGTGTGTGGTAGTACCCCAATCCAGCTCTGCCCCAAAACCTGGGCCCCAACTCCATTTGACATCTTTAGGCTTCTTGAAAACATCCTGGCCTGACAAATTTCATCATCTTTTCTGCATTCTCCCCAAACTACAGCATTGCCCCCCCAAACACACACAATAAGCCAAGCCAGATGCCTAAGGGTTGTCTTCAACCCCTTCTTCTCCCTCCTTCCCACATCAAATCAGTCCTGTCCTGTTGACTCTTCCTCCTTAACATTTTTCATATTTATCTTCTCCCGGTCAACCCTCTCACTATCTCGGTTAACCTTTTGCTTGGATGATTGTGACTTGTCCCTGTCACCTGCATTTTCTCCACTCCAAGCCCTTTCCTCACTTCTGCCAGAGACATCTTCCTCAAAACACACTTGACCATGCCACCCCCTACTTAAAATTCATCCAAACTCCTCATCACCCTTAGATGATGTCCAAGCTCTTCAACTGGCATCAAAAGACTCAGCAGGACCCATCTCCTCTCCCCTTACCGACTCCATCTTTCACTGAGTACCCCCAACTATCCCTGTGTCCAAATGGTAACATTTGAGCCACTCCAAATGCTTGACATTCCCTGAATGTGCCTGACCTCCAGGCCATTCATTGCTCACACTCTTCTTCCTCCCAGAATAGCCTTCTTCTGTCTTCCTGAAAATCCCCTTGCAGATCCAGCTCAAGACTACTTCTTCCATGAAGCCCTTCCTGATCTGGGAGATCTGATCACTCAATGCCTTAGTCCTCCAGTGTATACTGTACAGATTTCTGCCAGAGAATGCAGACACACTAGTCAGAGCCACCACTGAACAATTCCATTCACATTGTAGTCTATGTGAAAAGTGCCCCCTGGATTGAGTAGTACATAGAGATGTTGATGCTGATGTACTTATCTCTGGATGTATGTCTCCCAGTGCAATCTGGGCTTCTGGAGAGAGTGGCTATATCAGATTTATCTCTGTTCTCTCTCTCTTTCTTAAAATGTTTTTATTGATTTCTAGAGAGAGAAGGGGAGAAAGAGATAGAAATACTGATGAGAGAGACACATCAATTGGCTGCCTCCTGCACACCCCTCACTGGGGATCAAGCCCACAACCTAGGCACATGCCCTGACCAGAAATTGAACCAGTGATCTCTTGGTCCATGGGTCAATGCTCAACCACTGAGCCACATTGGCTGGGCTTATCTCTGTTCTCTTAAAGCCCAGTAGAAATCTAGTACAGAAAAAGCTCAGTGAGTGTTGAATGAATGAATGAATGAATGAATGAATGAATGAAATGATTAAGTAAATGAGTAACAGAAGTTGTTCAGTTTCTGCCTTCTGAGATTTCTCCATTCACTACCCTAACTCCTGGTCTATAAAAACCCAATTAACACATGCCCAGATATTTCAGCTTTGGGGCTACATTAAGTCTCATTGATATTTTATGAATATGAAGGTCAAGGACAGCATCTTCTCTCTTGCAAGTCACTGGAGCTGCCCATATAGCTCTCTTTAGAGTCCAGGGGGGCAGACCAGGCCAAGGGAAGACTTTGGACTTCTGCATCCTGCGAGGTCTCTACACCAGGTGAGCTGGAGCCCTGGGATCCTCTCAGCCTCTTCAAAGGAGGAAGCAGGCTGGGCCTGCACTGGACCTATACTGCCTTCCAGGCACCTTCAAATGGCTCAGGGTAGGAAGGGGGAGCACCTCTGGCCTCCAAAAACACTTAGAGATTGCCTCCCCCTGGAGGACAGTCAGGACCTCCTGAATGCTCTGCTCATTCTCGGTTCGGTGATCTTTGTCAAAAGGATCCAATCACGTCACTTACCATCACTGTTTCTCCACTGCTCTTGGGATAAAATTCCAGTTCTGCCAGATCTACTCCCCAGGCTCACACCACAACCGCCCGCACCTCCCTCGGGCTGCGCTTCAACTACACTGAACTCCCTTTAGTCCCCAGAACACAACATTCCCTCTCCTCCTCTTACATCTGGAAGCATTCTCCCTCTGCTTCCCTTTCCAACTCATCGTTCGACGTTGGTCATCCCTGGATATTGCTGCATTTCAGAATCCTCCACGACCCCAGAGGTGGGGATAGGAATCTTCTATGGTCCTACACCCTCCTTATCAAACAGTTTGGTTTTGAACAGGTTATGCGCACATACTTGTTTAAAAATTCAAGCATTAAAGAATGTTCAGCGAAGAGTAAATCTCCTCTCAATCTTCAGTCCCTTATTTCCATTTCCCAGAAGCAAGCACTTCTGGTAGCTCCCCCCGCACCCTTCCAGAAATACTCTTTGCTTTTGCAAGCACTTGTGTATCCATTTAACCTCTTTCTAAATATATTAATGATAAGACACCGGTGCTTTTTTTTTTTTTTTGCCTTCACTTTTTTCTGTCCACTAATATATCTTAGAGAGCATTCCACGTGCTTTTAAAGACTGACAAACCTCAGAGGAGAAGGGCGGCGGGGAGGGATGAGATAAACCAAAGAACTTACATGCATGTAAGCGTAACCAGTGGACATAGGCAACAGTGCTTGGGGTGGGGGGTAGGGAGGAGGGTGTCTGTGGGGGTGGGGAGAGGAGAAACATCTGTAACAAAAATAAATTAATAAAAAAATAAAAAAACAAAAACAGAAAACAGCTGCAAAGTATCCTATTATATGAGAGGCCTAGAATTTATTTACCCTGTTCTCCACTCATCTGGGTTATTTCTATCCTCTTGCAAGTACCACCTATACTGCAATGAATATCCTTGTACATACTTCTTGATGCACACATCCAAGTGTAACTGCAGGATAATCTCCAAGGTCTGCTCCTTTCTGTGTTTGATGTAGAGGACCAGACTGTCCTCAAGAGGTTGTTCAAATTTACTTAGTCCCACACTGTAATTACCTGCCGCTGTCTTTCTGCTTCTACAGAACTGTGACCCTGGGATGAGAGAAGCTGTGTCTGTCCTCATCTGTCCCCAGTGCCCTGGCCAGGGCCTGGGTCATAAGAAACCTTACGTTGAATGAATGGGGATGGGACAATATAGATAAATCCTGAGCCTTATTCAAGGACGAGATTGAGTTCCATAACCTGCCCTCTTCCCACCTTCAACATCCTTTGACAGGGGGTAAGTGACCATTCACTGGGCACCTGTCATCGGCTTAGAATCATCATGCTTTGAATGTCTGTAGGGCCCTGTTGTGTCTGCACAGAGACTGGACAAAGCCTGTAAACACTTGTTGATGGATACCCTGATTTAATCCAACCTCCATTTACTGGATGCTAGAAACAAAAGGATGAAGTAGGCCGTGGGCACATCCAGGCTCTCAGTGCATGGACAATGCTTGAATCAGAAACCAGAGACCCCACAGGGGGCCTTGCCATATCTGGGCAGCCTTCCTTGGTGACACCAACCACAGCCCTGACCTCCCTGGACCCCAACCCCAGGTGTCTTGGCCTGAGACTCCTGTGGGGAGGTGCCCTACTTCCCATGGACAAGACAAGCCTCTGGGGAGACAGATAGCCTTGTAGCCTCTGTAAGGGATGACAGGACGAGAGTAGGGGGCAGGAGAGGGGAATGCTGGAGAGGGAGAGACATTTTTCAGTGTACAACAGGGTGAATGAGATGGAGGGCCAGGGAGAGTGGCGGAGAGAAAGCAAGCAAGAGACAGAGACAGAGAGGCATTCAGAGTGAGAGCCAGAGAGATGGACAGAGACAGAAAGGGAAAGAGAGGCAGAGAGAGGAAGGAGGAGGAAAGGAGGGAAAAGAAGAGGAAAGAGAGTAACAGACACCAGTGAGAACAAGAAGAGGAGGAGGGAGGACTCCCGCCGACAGGGAGCAGGTGGGCAAGGAGGGGGGCCAGCACGGGGCTCGTGCGCCTGCCCCGGGCACTCACTGCGGATCTCGGCCGTGGCGTACTTGGGGATCATGGAGTCGGTGGTGAGCTCAGGGTGCAGGATGCAGCCGTGGGTGTAGGCGTCCATGGGCAGGGAGTCCAGCAGCTCGCGGTACTGCAGCACCCGGGCATGCTGTGGGCTGCCCGCCTCGGGCATCAGGGCCACCACATGCTCTGCGAGGCACAGCCAGGGCTGGACCAGGGGCGTGGGCCCTGACTCGGCCACCCGCCCCTGGTTCGGAGGCCAACCTCTGGCACCCCAGCTTCCAACCCCAGCACCCTGGAACCCCAAAATGTTGTGGCCCAGAGGTCCCGGGCCCACACCCTTTCCCAGACTCCTTGAGGCAGGGGACCCTAACGGTGCAGCCCACCTCTCCCTCCCCACCGGAGCCTTCCTAGCTGTCCCCTGAGGGCAGGTGGGAGCCTGGGCTCTTATTGCCAGCCTTCAAGAGAAGCTGGAAACCTGGATGTTTAAAATAGAACTCCCCTTGACTTTTAAATGTTGGCAGCTAATTCATATTCTTTCCAAATAGCGCATGTCCGGGCCCTGATGCCCTCTCGGCTTCTGTTTGCAGCTCTGCCATGGGCTGTGAGCCCCGAACCCGAGCCAGGCCAGAGGGAGAGAGAGGGGAGGGGACATAGGATTCTATGGGGTCCTGGGGTGTTGGCCCTATTCTAGTCTGCAAGGTTCTAGGACATCTGGGCCCATGCCTATGGGCTTCCTGGGAGTCTATGGCCCTGACTGTGCTTACGGGATTTCAGGGCCTGGGGTCCGCTGGTGCCCTGGCATCCCAGGAAGATCTCTACTCTGTCTCTGGGGACTTAGAAGGCAGTGTAGGTCCTGCTCATGCCCAAGAAGTCTGTGGCCATGTTTGTGACTCTAGAGTCCTCGGGGAAGGAGGCTATAGCCCCAGAGCTTCAAGGAGGGTGTGTGGACCATGCCCTTCCCTGTGGTACCAGTGGGGGTGGGGTGTTTGTGGGTTCCTGGGGATCTGTGGCTATGAAGTTCCTGAGGGGCAGCTCAGTCCTGCCTGTGGCCCCATGGTTTGTCTTGGGGGAGACTGGGCCTTGCCCATGGCCCCAGTGGGTTTCCCCAGTCTTCCCAAGGCTCCGGGACCCCCCCGAGCCTGCAGGGGCCCCTGGTGGGTGCAGCAGCCATACCTCCTGTGAAGGTGCGCTCCACGTAGTCGATGATCTGGTCGTAGTCGCTGATGATGTTGTCACGATGGATGATGACAGGCACCTCCTCCCCCAGGTTGAGCCGCATGAACCAGGGCTCCTTGTGCTCGCTCTGCGGCAGGCTCACGTCCCGCTCCTCACACGCCAGGCCCTTCTCTGCGATCACCAGCCGCACCTGCAGGGGCCAGGGTCAGAGCGGGGAAGGCGGGTGGACACACAGGGACACTCTGCCCAGGTGGGATGGGGCATGTGGGGAGGAAGGTCAGAGGTCACACACAGGAGGGGACACTGTTTCTTCCAGCTCATTCTTGGGCACCTGGGGGGGGGGGGCTGTCTCCCAGGGGCGTAGGGCCTGCTGGTTATGGGGCTGGGTTTCACAGCTGGACATACCTGGGGACAGAATTCCTGGTTCTGCTGTGGGAGCTTGGGCAGACTCCTTAAACTTTCTGAGCTTTAGTTTCCTTATTTGAAAATTGGAAGTATTAATAGTACCAATCCAGTGTCTGGTGTATAAATTCACAATTATCCTTATCATGATTGGGCTCTCAGCCGGGCCTCCAGGGGTGGAGTCAGCCAGAAAATATTCAGAAATTCTTATCATCAGCAGCTAAGATTTTCAAATTATTTGAGAAACAAAATGAGGCAAAAAAATAATTTGCCAACATCGGTTGAACACTTTATTCTTCTCAAATGCCTTCCCGTCTGTTGCTGGATGCTCACAATAGCCTCCCAGAAGAAGAACAGGGAGTATCTCCTTATTTTGCTTTGATGAGAAAAACTAAAGCCCAGAGAGGGTTAGTAGCTTACCCAAAGTCACATAGCAATTTAGCAGCAGATCTAAAACCGTAGGCTATTGTTCCTGACCCCAGACCAGCGCTCTCTGCCCTGAGGGCTCCTTCCAGAGAGTCCTGGGTCTGCCCCATCCTTCGTCTTTCCCTATGTCTCTAGGGGGTCCCAGACAAACGTTTGAGCTGGTAGAAGCTAATGGAGAGCCTTGAGGCAGGGGCATGTCCTGTCCCAGCCCAAAATTTCTGAGCTGGAAAACAGTTAGCAATCACCTAGTCCAACTGTCCCCTTCCTGTGGACTGAGACTCAGAAAGAAGGCTGGATTATGCAGGGGCCCCCAGCACAAAGATGGCAAGTGATACACCCCTCCTGAGCATCAGTGTCCCTACACACCCAATTAGAAGCTCTGGGGACTGGACATCCCCAGCCTTCCTTCCAGATGTCAGGAGTTAAAAACCCAGAAGGGGCAGCATGAGGTCAAGTTCAGAATGTTGGACTGGGTGCCAGGCTGTGTCAGTTCAGATCACACCTCTAGCACTTACTTGCTGGATGATGTGGCTTTCCAAACAGCTTTGCACCTGTGTGCCTCAGCTTCCTCGCCTGTCCAGTGGGAGTCCCACTAGCGATTCCTTCAGAAGGTTGTTGTGAGAATTAGATAATGAGTCCCTGAGGAACTGTGCCTGGCATACAGTAGAGGCAATGTGTCTTAGCTACTTGCATTGGACTAGGTTTTTTGGAGACAGACAGACTTGGATTTAAAGCCTGGCTCTGCTATTTATTTACTGTCTGACCTCGGGCAAGTCACTTGACCTCTCTGATCCCTAGTCTTTGTGAAATGAGAAATGTAATCCACTCTTTCAAGACTGGCTCAAGGTTGAGATGGGGTAACGTGGGTAAAGTCCCAGCCCGGGAAGTTGATACATGGTTTCTAACATCACTATTTTCACACACACACACACACACACACACACACTGCCCACAACTCCTGGTTGATGTCCTGGAGTGCTTCATGCCACATGCTCACAACTAACACAAACACCCCCTTCTGTTTAGTGAACTGTGGGGAGCTAATTGGCACCCGAACTCCCAACACTCATTCACAGATTCATTTGCTCGTTTAGGCAGAAGCAGGTGCTGCAGATGGCCCTGGGAGGCAGGCCCTCCGGACCTCAACCTGGCTTTGCCACAGCAATGCTGTGTGACCTTAGAGCTATAGCTGTCCCTTCCTGAGTTTCCTCTTTCTCACTAGTGGGGGGGGGGGGCTGTAGCCCTGCAGGGAGCTGACACTGCGTTCAGACCACGCAGGAGCCAGGGCCGTGGGAGGGAACTGCTGGGTCTGTCTGAGAGAGGGGGAGGACATGTGGCAGAGTGAGCACCCGGGGGTGCCGTCTGTTGGGTCTGGGTGTGTGAGTGTGACAGTATGTGTGCCTGAGTGTGAGTGGCAACTGTGTGAATGAGCAAACGTGTGTGCATGTCTGTGTGTGCACACGCGTGCATGAGTGTGGGTATAAGTGTACCAGTAAATGTATTTAAGTACTGTGTGAACACTTGTGCATTAGTGTGGATATGAGTGAGCATGCATGAGAGAGGAAACTCCTGTGTATGTGTACATTTGAGCTCGTGGGTAGTGACCGTGCCCTGGGGAAGCTCCAGAGCAGTGAGGCTGGAGTTTGGCTGGAGCCAAACCACCCCATTCCCTTCCTGCCTATCCTGGCAAACTCCTGCCTCAGAGATCAGAATCCACCCAATCATCCAGCCTCTGGGCCAGGCTGGGCCTCTGAATGGATGGAAACAGAAACCAACCAAGCCTTTGCCCTTGGCAAGTCCAGACATTTGGCCTCTGTCCTGCCAGGGCATCTGCCCTGCCCTGAGATTCCAGTGAGGGTGCCAGGTGGGGCTGCTGCCTGAGGAGGGGACTATCTTTAGAGGCACAACACTCCTGCTTGGAGCTGCCTCAGGTCACGTCGGCAAGCGGCCAAGGAGACTTTCTCCTTTAGCTGAGCTGAAGGCCAGAGCCCATGCGCCATCCTGCAGGGGAGGAGGGGGGTGCAGGAGGAAGCCAGGCCCAGGGGAAGGGCATGTAGTCACAGAGGCCATCTGCCATCTCTGCTTCCTGGGGGCTGGAGCGGACTTAGGTGGTCACCACTCAGTGTGACCAGGCATCAACCATCTCTGGGCAAACTCCCTTTATTGTCATGGTCAGACACTGTCCCTCCTCACCCAGGCCCTTGTTTCTGAGGCAACTATAATGGGTTGGGTTGGTTTCTCTTCCCAGCCACTTAGTTGCTGTGTGACTTTGCAAAAGACCTTAGAGACTCTGGGCCTTAGTTTATTATCTGAAATACCTTAGTTTTAAATTAATAAATTTTATATTTTAGACCAGTTTTAGGTTTACAGAATCAAAATATTTTTTTTATATAACACCTACGGCTTGCAAATTCATCACTTTCCAATACTTATTTATCAAGTGCCTACTCTGTGCCAGGTCCTGTTCTAAGTATGGGAGACTCAGCATTGAACAAGAATTCCTGCCCTCAGGGAGCTGACATTCTAGTGGGAGCAGATAGATGATTAGCAATTAATATGATAGGATATGTTCAAAGATGGTGAGTGCAACAGAATAAAGAAAAAATACACCAGGGTTAAGGGAATTGGGGATGCCAGGTATCAGGAAGACAGGTGACAATTTTAAATAAGATGGTCCATTGAGCTTGGCCTCTCTAAGAAGGTGACCCTTGAGCAAAGGTTTGAATGAAGTGAGGAAGTGGTCCACACAGGGATCTGGGGAAGACTGTTCCAGGCAGAGGGACAGCGAGTGCAAAGGTCCTGGGGTGGAAGAATGTCTGAAGTGTTTGAAAAGGCCTTGTCTGAAGAAGCCAGCGTGGTTGCAGCAGGGTGGATGGGGAAGAGAAGAGAGGAAGAGGTCAGAAAGGATCATGCACAAGAACTTATAATTGAGACTCCCAGACCCAGGGGTCTATAAATAAATTCAGAGAGTCCTTGAACTAGAATGGAAAATTACATGTTTATTTTCAGTAATCTCAAACTGACAGTTAGCATTTTCTTCAATTATGAGTGTAGGCGACAAAGCACGGTAGTGTTAGCAGTGCCTGGAATATTGTCACCACGAGGAATCAGATATCTTCATCACTTCACGGTTGTGGCAATTACACTTATCATGACTTCAGTATCACGGCTGTGATCAGTCCTGCCACTAGATTGTGTTAGATAATGGGTTAATATAGAAACATGTCATTACATAACAAATTTGTTTTAAAAATATGTCAATAGCTACACTTCAGTACAATTGGTTTTCCTTCTAGTCTAACAATCCTATGAATTTTATTTTATTCAAGTAAGAGCATTATTCTCAGAAAGGTCCAGAGGTTTCCCCCAATTGTTGAGGGGTCCATGACCCAGGCAAGGTTAGGATCCTACGGTAGGGCCTGAGGCTATTAGGAGGACTCTGGCTTTTCCCCAGAGGGACCCGGGGAACCACTGCAGGCTTCTGAGAAGAGTGGTGAAATTGCAGTTTTCACCTGTGGGCCTCCTGGGGGAGGGGTAAATGGTCAAGTGCAGCAGTATGGACAGTGCTGGGGGCCAGTGTCCAAGAGCTTGAAGGGCAATACCAGGGTGAGAAGTAGAGGTCATTTACTTCCTCCTACCACAACTGGGAGGGGGCTTCTGGGAGATCTGCTCCATCCTGAGTGTCAGGACTGGCGCATGACAGGACCCAGACCTGGGCCTGTTACCCCTAGGGGCCAAAGACTGGGCCAGGGGCTCCCCACAGGTACATCAAAGATAAGGGCAGGCTTGAGAGAAGACAAGGACAACCTTGAACCAGGCTTGCTGCAGGGAGCCAGGAACAGTTCTCTGAAACTCACTCCAGTGGAAATAACAACAGTAATAATAGCTAACTCTTACATAGCACTGTACTAAGATCTGTACATGTATTAACTCATTTAATCCTTAAAAAAATCTAATGAGGTAGGTACTAGTATTATGCTCATTTTAGAAGAAAAGGAAGGAAGGAAAGAAGGAAGGAAGGAAGGAAGGAAGGAAGGAAGGAAGGAAGGAAAGAAAACAGGCACAGAGATAGTAGGTAACTTGTCCAAAGTCACACAGCTAGTAAGTAGTAATCTTGGTTTTTAAAGAACTGACTTGCGTGAGGACAGAAGGATTCTCAGAGGGTTGGGAACACACAGAGGTAAAGCAGTTCTTCCTGCCTGGGGATGGTGGGAGGCAGGTTATATCAAACATCTAGTCCATTGTTCTGTTGTGGAAACTGAGGACCAGGGAGGGTCAGGACTTACTTGAGGTTACACAGCCAGAGAGTGGGAGTGTCAGCACCTGGCCCCTACAGGTGTCTTGACTCCCTGTACTTTTTGCCCCTCTGAACCTCACTCCCCCAAAGGAGAAGGGACTAGGGGCAGGAACAGCCTGAGAAGCACTCTAATATCTACGCCAAGCAATTAGAGCCTCCCCTGAACACTGTGGCCCCAAATGATCACTTGTGGTACCTAAAAGTTCACTATTAAGAGTGCAGTTTTTAAAGGCATTGAGCTAAGTGTGTGACAACGCATATCATTTAATCTTCACAGCCTGTCCATAACCCTCTGCACACTCCTAAGCATATGAGGAGCCGAGACTTAAGAAAGGTGAAGACACTTGCACAAAGGCACAGAGCTAGGAAGAGGCGGAGATGGCATTTGATCTTGTGTCTGGTAAGTGTAAGTGCACTTACTGAGTACTTGCGTGTGCTGTGATAGGTGATTTACATGGGTACATTTGTGGAATCCTCACAATGGCCCTATCAGGGAGGTGCTATTAATTTTCTTAATTTACAGATGTGATAACCAAGGCATGGAGGGTAAGTGAACTGCCTAGGATTACCTAATTGGTCAGTGGTGGAGCTAAGACTGAAACCTGGGCAGTCTGGCCTCAGAATCTGGGCTCTGGACCCCTCACTGTCCTGCTGCACTCATGGGGGTGGGCTATTTCTATTACTAGTAGTTCATGTGCCATTAAGGACAGTCTTCTCACATGCCCCACATGGGGAACTGCTCCCTGCTTGCAGGCAAAGCCCATCAGCACTGAAGGGATGGGAGGAAACTCACCTGCTAAGCTCCTAGTACATGGCAGACACTTAACATATGTGTATGTCCTCTCAATCCCCCAGGAATTCTGCAGGGTAGGATGCAAACGTAATCTTTCATAAACAAGAATACTGAGGCATAGGGAGGTGAAGTGACTTATCCAAGGTCACACAGCCAGTAGCACTCAAGATGAGACTGGGACCCAGGACTGTCTGACTGCAGAGCCCATGGCCTTTGTCAGGCAACACTGCCTGTAGAACCCACCATGGGCCCCTGAGCAGGAGGAAGTCCCTGGCAGGGGAGGCAGGAAGATGTCAGACTGGCTTGGTCAGAGGCTTGGTCACAAATGGGGTTACAGTGGTTGGTTCTATCCCTGACTAGGGGTCCACTTTAGTCCTGAGCTCAGGCTGAACAGAAAATATTCCATGGGGCGAGAGTAGGAGGTTCCCTCGGGGGATGGTAATGAGAAGTGTCATCCCTCTGCCTCCCATCCAGTCCCCACTACTGGGAACTGGCTCCTGAGATTCTGGGTGGGAGGAGATTTTTAACATCTGGAGGTGAGGCTGATTCATCTCCCAACCCCCAACAATTTGCACAGAGCTTGTCACACAGTAGGTGTTCAGCACACATGTGTAAAATTTATGGAGTCTCAGTGTGACCTTGGTTAACCTGACCTCTCCTCTACCTAGTACTTTAGGGACATCATGACACCCATTATTAATAGAAACTTGACTCTGCGCCAGGCACTGCTATCAGCACTTTTTGTGCATCATCTCATTTCACCATCACAATAGCCCTCTGAGGAAGGTACTGCCATTAGCTCCATTTTACAGATTATAAAACTAAGGCTTTGGGAGGCAAAGTGACCTGTCCAAAGCCCCAGAATAAGTTACCGGGGAGGCTAGTAATCCCACTGGGGATTGTCTGGCCCCAGAGTCTATACCCTAAACTGGGATTACTTAAACTGGCCGACTGTTGGACCAGCTTCATCAGCATCACCTGGTAGTTTGTTAGAAATGCAGCACCTTGGGCCCCACGCCAGAACCACTGAGTCAGACTCTCTGGGGTGGGACCCAGCAGTCTGTGCTTTAACCAAGATCACGCAGTGCTTCCAAGCACGATCAAGTTTGAGTAGTGCCAGTCTGGAAGAGTAAGTCATACTGCCTCTTCAGCAATCCTCTCAGCAACCCTGAGAGGGGTTGAAATGAGAAGTGGCTGTTATTATTATCCCACTTTCCGGCATATAAAACTGAGCCTGGACCAAGACTCAAACCCAAGTCTTTTGGTTCCAAGGCCCCTTCTCTTTACAGAATCCGTTTCTCCATCTGGAAAATGAGTGAAGGGAACAAAAGGATCTTCAGGGACAGGCAATGGAGACTGAAAGCTGGGCCCTGGCCATGGTGCTGAATCCGTGCCCCACAAACAGGGCAGCCGCCCCCGGTGAGAGACTGCGCCCCTAGAGGCACTGTCTTACAGGAGCAGTGCTGGGCCCTCACCTCCAGGAATTGGGAACCCCAATAACTCAGCACCAGGCTCTATTCCCAACTGCCCCCCAGGTCTCCTGAGTATGAGAAGTGGCGGAGAGGCTATCTGTGCCTTTAAGAGCAAAACACAGATCTTAGGGGCCCTTGGCTGGTCTAAGATGAATTAATTCCTTTTCAAGCAAGAGGGGTGGGGGTGGGGCGGACTGAGATGGACCCTCCAAGCCCCAGCCAGAGGAACTGAGACCTGAAAGGCCTGTAGTATCTGGGACAACAGTTCCGGGGGGAAGGCCTGCGATGGGACTACAGGGGCTAGAGGCTGGACCCCAGGAAGCGCTCCTCCTCCCTCCCCGAAGCAGCCGCCCCCTCCAACAGGCCGCCTTCCCAGCAGTGCCCATTGCTTCCCCTTGCCTTTGTCTCTCTGCTCAGCCCTCTTACAGACCGGGTCTTTCGGGGAGGGAAAGAGGATGGATATTCCTAGAACTGGGGGAGGTGGTCCTGGGGCCCAAGACAGAGCCAGTCACCTCCAGGGAGAGCAGCCCTGCTCTCCGTCCTCCTGCCCGGAAACCCTCCATTCTACCCTCCAGTCTTACACCGGGTCCTCAGACCCCTTAAGCCCCCCCCCCCAGGTCCCCTCCCCAAGCCTCCCAGCCACCAGGGGCACCCGGTTCCCCTGCTTTCTCTGGCTATACCTTCTGCGAGCTGAAGGATTGGGTCCAGTGGTACAGAACCAGGCTCTCCTTGGGCCAATGGGCGGGGCTGGCCGCCTCCGGCGCATCGGGGGCCTCCGCAGGCTTGGCCGCATCGCTCTCCAGCGCCGAGATGGGCCACCAGCTGCAGTTGGTGGGGGTCAGGTTGTTGGGGGTCGCCATGACAGCCGGGAATCAGAGGGAGGAAAGAAGGAGGCTCGGCGGCCGGCGAGGCTGCGGTGGTGGCTCTCTCGCCCAGCATCACATGGCCTCACGGAGCCTGTCCCTCTCCTTCGCTCCCTCCCTCCTCTCTCCGTGAATGTCATTACTCACTGGGCGAGTGGGGGAAGGGGTGAGGGGATCCCGGGAGCTCCTTCCCTCCCCCTTTCCATGGCCTGCCCATGGCCCGAGCCGGGCAAGCCACCAGTCCTCTCTGCCAGGCTCCGGGGAAGGGTGCGTGGAGCCTTGGGGAAGTGGGCCATGCCCCCAGGTAGCTCCTATCTGGCCAGTCCCCTGACGATAATTCCATCACAAATGATTTCTGCCTCTTGGTCTTCTAAGAAGCAAATATTTCTTTAGGATAACTGGTGTTATATTCATTCCTTTTATTAATTCTGGAATAGCTTGTCTCTCTTTGGAGCTATTTTCTCCTGAAAGACCTCTTAGGAGCAGAAGGAGGGAACAAACAATGATTTATTGTGCACCCCAGCACTGTTCTAAAGGCTTTACAACCACCCATCCATTTAGCCCTCACAATAATCCTATTAGTCTCATTAAAAACAAATATTTTTCTTTATTGATTTTAGAGAGGGAGAGAGAGATATAAACATTGATGAGAGAGAACATCTATCACCGCCTCCTGCATGCCCTTCACTGGGGATCGGGCCCACAATCTGGGCATGTGCCCTGACCCCAGGACCTCTTGGTGCATTGGTCAACACTCAACCACTGAGCCACACTGGCTGGGCCTATTAGCCTCATTTTACAAAGGAGGAAACTGAGGCACAAAGAGGCTAAGTGACCTTGCCCAAGGTCACCTAGCTAGTAAGCGATAGAGCTGGGATTCGAACTCAGGCTGTCTGGCTCCAGAGTATCAGTCAATATGCCCTTAGCCATAAGGTCATGACAATATATTAATATAAACAGCAGCACAGTAAGCACTTAGCAACTCATGCACTCTACATGCATCACCTCATTTCATCTGCACAACAATCATTTTTCCCAGATGAGGAAGGTGAAGCTCCGAGGTGTAAATCATTGGTTCAAGGTCACATCTTCACTCCGAGAGACTGAGGCACAACCAGAGGAGCCCAGAGAAAGCCTGTCACACCTTTGCTGTTATACAAGTTACACTAAACATTCATGAGAACTTTATATAAAGTTCCTTAATATATCCTTGCTTTCCTTACTATAAATATTAATTTATTTACCATTGAGCAAGTAGATGTACCTGAAAGATACACTTCTTAGTTTTTACCCCCTCCCCCCAGGTCATGCTACCCAGGGCTCCTGGCCTTATCACCCTCCAGACTGGTAAGGATAGCTCCTGAGCAGTCAGTGGCCTTCCTTCTACCAGATAACAAAAGTTCTGTGCCCCGTGGGTTTCTCTTTTTTCTTTGGCTGCCAAGGAAGCTTGGCGCTACTTTTTCTGTTGAGTCTCAGTGGCCACATTAAGTTTTCCTTGTTTAGCAAATTCTCTTTCAAAATGTCTTGTTGTTCACAGCTTTATTGTGCAAAGAAGGATATGCTGTGACTTGAGGGAAAATTCAAATGTCTGTGAATTAGGGGGGGAGTAAGGCCCTAGAAATTTGATCAAGGTGGAAAATCTGACCCCTCTCTGTGTCTTCAACCTGATGTATCCAGGGAGCCAGACTCAGCGGTCACACTCAGTGTGTGTTCATCCCCTCAACAAATATTAATTGTGCACCTACTATGTACTAGGCACTTCAATGTCACAAGAGATATAGTAATAAATAACTACACAGTAGTCCGTTCTTTGTATTTTTCACTTAGCAATACATCCTGGAAAGAGTGTCCTATCAGCACAAGTCTACTCCATACTTTATAACAGCTTACACTATGTGGATGCATCGTAATAAATTTAACTCCAGTTGATGGTGTGGACGCCAAGGAGCCACATTGCTAACCCGACAAGCTCAGGGAAGGCCTGCATGACGGCCTTGCAAACTCAAAGACCTAAAGGAACCCCAAAGGATAGTCTGAAATTTAAACTTTTTAACTGGGAGCATTTTATGGTGGGTAGTCCTGCCCTAGGCCGGCATCTTCCCTGACAAAGGTCAATTTTCACCTTAATTGAGCCTATTGCCTTTTCTTCTTTTGCATCTAAGACAGCGTACCTTTGGAATGTGGGGTGGCTTCCTTTTCTCCAGGCCCCTCACAAATCCCCTCATTGTTATATTATCATGTTAATTGTTGACTGTTAACTATCCTGTTCCCACGTATGTAAAAGGATGTGTCTATCATTTTACTTTTAATTCAATGCCAGAAATTTCCCTGCTGTGCTTTCTCCCGCCTCCCTCATCTATCACCAGTGGATTTCATGTAACCCACTTACATCTTCTCTTTTGATTGTAATGTTTAAATTAAGGTGCAAAACTGCCATTCTCCGGACCATATCTCAATCCTCAACCCACTGAGGTTTTGCTTCCCGGAATTTGTCAATAGTTTGGCTCAAATAAACTCACAAAATTCTTCACGGGTTTGAATGTTTCTTCTGTTGAAATTATGCATATATACTGTTTCTAATCTTTGGTTATAAAAACAATGCTGCAGTGAATATCCTTATTCATATGTATTTGTGCACACGTTTGAGGATATTCTGTATTATAAATTACTAGAAATGGAATTGCTGGATCAAAGAATATGTCTTTGCCAAAGTTCCTTCAGAAGAGGTTGTCCTAATTTATACTCACCACTAACAACCTATAAAAGTGCCCATTTCCCTACACCCTTGCCAACACAGCATATTTTAAACATTTAAAAAAAAATCTATGGGTAAAATATGGTATCTCATAGTTTTTAATTTTTTGCGTTATAAAAATTTTTCAAATATATGAAACAGCAAACAACATAGCTCAATAAACACCCATGTATCCATCATCTATATATAATCATTCTTTAAAACTTTCCATATTTGTTTAATTTGGGGGAGAGGGTTTGAAATAAATTATAGGCATCATGATATTTCACCCACTAACAACTTAGTATTACTTTATATCTAACATTTTCTTACATAAAACAACACATTTAAAAAAATTAACACGGCCCTAATATTTAGTTCCTATTCAAATGTCTCCAGTTATACCAGAAATGTCTTCATTTCTGATTTCAACTAAGATCCAATCAAAGACCACCCTGGCCGGTTCGGCTCAGGGGTTGGAGTGTCAGCCTGCAGACCAGAGAGTCCCTGGTTTGGTTCCCACTAGGGGCAAGAACCAAAAAAAAAAGATCCAAGCAAAGACCATGTGATAAATTCTGTTGTTACACTTTAAGTCTCTAGAATGGTCCTTGCCCTTTTACATTGTTTTCCCCATAACATTGGCTCATGGAGAGACTGGCCAGCTGTCTTATCCAATGTTCCACTTTGGGATTTGTCTGGTTAGTCATTGTGGTGTCCTCTAACTTGTCATCCTCTGCCTTGTACTTCCTGTTAACCAGTACTTAGATTTAAAGGATAGATTAGATCCAGGTTAAACATTTTGGGGGCAAGAATTTAATACTTGCTAGGTGGTACTATGTGCTTCATTTTGCCTCACATCAGGAGGTCCATAATATCTTATTGTCCTGCTATTAATGATGCCAAGTTTGATTACTGGGTTAAAGAGGTCACCACATCTCTCCATGTTAGGTGTCCATTTCTCTTCTTCCCACCAGAACCTTGTGGGTATCCAATTCCTCCAATGATGGTCCTTGACTGAATCAATTATCAAGGATTGTAAAATAATTTTCTAATGTTGTCTTTTCATTTGCATTTATCAACCGGCGTTTTTTATTTGAATTTCATTAATTATGAGTAAAGCTGACCATCCTTTCAAATGCTTAAAAGCCACTTAAATTTCTTTCCCAGCAGATTGTCTGTGTTTCCGGGGGGACCTGGGCAATGATCACATAGCATGGTGAGTGCTGTGACTGGGGTGAGGACAAGGGTTGCGGCAGAGCTGGGAAGGGACCTCCGGCTTGCCCCACCTCCCCAGGTGCTGACAGGGCCAGGGAAGGGTTCAGGATGCTGTGGCTCTCAGGATGGGTTTCTCCGAAGCAGATCCTGAGACAAGAATTCAAGGACAAGCAATTACTCCGGGAGAGAAGGGAAATCCTAGGACATGAGACAGGAAAGGCAGCCAAGGAAGGTGTGTTGTCAAGCAAGTTAGCACTGTGGGCAGCTGGAGCGTAATCACACGGGGACATTCTGAGGCTGGTGTGAAACACCTTGGCATTGTTCCACCCGAGGAGAAAGAGAGCTGGGGATTTATACACCCAGTTGCCAGTCATCACTTGGGGAGTGCTCCAGGGACAGTGTTAACTCCTAAGCATTTCAGGCCTGTCCTGCAGTTGGCAGAGGGGGTTCCAGTGACCACAGAAAGCCCCCAGCAATAACTATGGGTGCTGCCAGCTGGGGGTTAGACTATATCACTGAAATGGTAAAAGTGTGTGCATGGTGGTGTCAGCATCTGCTCAGGAGCCTCTAAACAGAGATGCTGATGAGGAGGAGGAATTCGCTAAATGAAGGGAAGACAGGAAAGGGATGCATGCTCCAGGTAGACAGAGGAGCAGGTGCAAAGGCCCAGAGGTGGGAGTGAGCGTGGTGCGTTTGAGGGCCCGACAGCTGTTCATTTGGCTGGAGGCAGAGATGAGAGGTGAGACTGAGTGGTGATGCGAGGCCTGTGGAGCCACCTTTAGGGCCCCGGGGAGTCACTGAGAAGTTTTAATCAGGGAAATAACATCCTGTTTGGGTGCCAGAAATCTAAAAAGGCCTGAAGTACTTATACTGACATTCCCATGTATTAATTTACACTGGGGCTAGATGTTCCTTCCCAGTGATGGGATTACTCATGCCCTTCTTCCATGGCAACTAGGGATGGACTGCCACCAAGAGGTTGCCATTGGAAGTGAACTCAGCACAGTGAGATGGGGACCTCAAGGCAGTATTTCACTTGGGTCCACTCCTGGTGGATTATAATATATATGTCAC